ACCTAGTGATCACGTGCTTTCTTTAATTGTAATTTAACCACATGCTTCCTAATGTCACCTAGTTAGTTTATACCAAGTTTCATCAAATTTGGTTCAGTAGAAAAAATTCGGGTGTCAAAGGGTTAAACAAAAGGAATGCAAATCATTTGTTGTATCATTTTTTAAAATTTAAAAAGAAAAATTTTAAATTTACCTAAGAGATGCAAGAAAAGTTTTTCTCATCTTGGAAAATAGTTGATGTAACACTGACCACTCTAAAACAAACATTTTTTCAATGAAAACTTTATGAAATTGGTGTGTAGCTACCTATATAAAGTTAGAAAAATCATGTATAACACACTATCTACCTTACACAAATGTTGTATTTCACAACTACAGAACACAGTAAGTCAGTTTAAGTCATATATGAAAAAACGTGGAAGCAAAACTTGTAATGAATGACAATGTCGGTTTTTATCCCCATGGTGAAATGCGCCATTCTCATGGTACGTTCACTGTTCAACGATTATTATTCTCACAATTATACATCATATTTGATTTTAATACTGGTTTTATGATACGTTATGCATATTCATTGACAACAAGAATAAATGGAGTCATTTACACAAAAATTATCATTCACTTAATTGAGCTTGGTGCAAAACATAATTTCATCATCAATTCACAGCGTTTAATATGAAACTTCGAACAATTAATTCACTTAATAATGTATTTTCAACTATCAAAATGAATGGTTGTTTCTTTCGTTATGCACAGTCCCTGTGAAGAAAAATTCAACAATGTACTCGTTATTTTTTTATCAAAAAATGAAAAAAATAATAATAACGATATTTCTGATGATGAACCAAAGAAAGCAGACTATTGGTTTCTTGAAGCAATTGGTTTAGCATTGATACCACCTAATACTGCTGAAAGTACATGCAGTGAAATACTGGATTTACAAACACAAGCTCATCCAGGCGCCATTGAATTCAATGATTATTTAGTGTAAATATACATCAATAGTAATATATCTCTGTATAGTATTCATACGTGAAACGTCAATGACACTATTATCAATGATTTTCCATGAACAAATAATCATATGGAAGGTTACAATAGCCGTTTCCAAAGAACTTTTTAAATTCATCCTTATATTTTCCACTTTATGGAATTATTACGTGACGAACATCTATATCAACATCATAAAGCCGACAATGTGACCAATGTTCACCAAACACAATGCAAAGAAAAAATTATACAGTGATATTGACAGCCAACTAAAAGAACTTCTTCATGATTATGAACTGGAAAAATTCACCAATGTTCACCTAGCAATCAAATGTGTTTGTGCTGTTAAGAGGCGTCTAAAAAAAAGTAGTATATCAAGAATTGTTTGTTTTCTGCGTACATGTATGAATGATGTTTTAGACAAATAATTGGTGTGTTTCTCTTTTTTTGAATTTAAATAAGTTAATATACAATAGACGGTGTATTCCTGTTTTGTCAACTCCTCAATTCTTTTCCCGATTCGTCGACAACATTTGGGGGGGGGGGGGGGCCGGGGGGGCCGCCGCCCCGGCGGGCGGGGAGGCGGGCGGGGGAGGTGTTTGAGTAGAGTTAAAATGGATAGGGGTTGTTGTGGTTGTTGAGATTTTTATGATAAATTTAT